TTGAGACTGGTTTGATCAGGTTTTGTAAGCGACTTAGCGTGGGTTTCATTCCTGTTTTGACCTATCTGATTGGGGCTGTGTTGGTAAAGATTTTCTGGTATTGATATCCTACACCGTTTATGCTACTGCCGGTTTTAACTTTCTGTGCTGCTGTTCGTCGAGGACCTTAATCTACTTGGTTTCTTGTTTCTCCTTGATCGGCCACTTTTGGTTGTTTTTGGGCTGTTATGCTTATGATTTTATGTGATCTGCTACTCTCTAAAGCTGCTGTTTCGGGTTGTGTGATTGCTGTAGTTTGCTGTGCGTTATTTTAGTTTTCTTTGGCTGCAGCGATGTGTTGGGTGGTATTTGCTGTTTTGAATCCGTATCTTGTTGTTTGCTTTCTTAGTTGGTATCCCGTGATCTGGTTGTTTTGCTGCTGCCTTTTGCTGCTGTGAATCGGTTTGGTCGTTCCTATTCATTTTCTATTTCTTACGTTCATTCTAAGTGTTTCCTTGGTCTTCGTCATTTTTGTTGAATTCCCTTGATAGATATTCAGCACCCTAGTTTCTAGGGTCTTCGTCTATTCTATTAAGGGCACTATACGAAAATTTCAGCACATAGGCTTCTTAGAGTGTACCATGGAAATGGGGGATGTTTCGGTTCCGACTTCTGATCCTTCCCGAATCTCGGTTTTTGAAAGGCTTTCACATCTTGATAATGATGTTGCGGATAACGTGCCTTTGGGTTCGGAGAATCTGGTCAGAGAAAAGTTAAATTTTGCCAAAGTTGTGGGACGATCGATTGACACAAATTTAAATTTCTACCCTTTAGCGGATAAAAAACAGGTGAGTGTGAAAATACCTATTGAAATGGCTAAGGAAGCTGCTAAAGCGTATAACTCGGTTTTGTATGGATATTTTCTGGGTCCGCGAATACCTTTTCCCTTGGTGAAAAATTACGTCAAACTGGCATGGGGAAAATATGGTTTTAAAGATGCTATGCTGAATGAAAATGGTATTTTCTTTTTTAAGTTTAATGATATTGGTGGATGTGATCAAGTAATTGAAGCAGGCCCGCTAATGATAAGAGGCATACCTCTTTTTGTTCATCTATGGGATCCTTCTAAGGGGTTAAGGAAACCTGAACATACATCCTGCCCGTTATGGGTAAAATTGCACAACATCCCCTTGGTTGCTTTCAATAAAGAGGGAGTCAGTCGCATCGCTAGTGTGTTGGGGGTTCCGAAGCAAATGGATTCTTGTACGGCGGCAATGTGTGAAAAGGCATGGGGTCGACCCGGATTCGCAAAAGTTCTAGTTGAGGTATGGGCTATCGGTGACTTGAAAAGACAAATTGAGGTTGAAACCCCTGACCTCAATGGGGGGGGGGGAAGCTGACAGTGTGCAAATCCAGGTGTAATATCTTTGGGAACCAGTTCAATGTTCCTATTGCCAAGTTTTTGGACATAAAACGTCGTCTTGCCCTAAATCTGTAAACAATGGTAAGCATTGGAGGGGAGGAAAGATGCAGAAGGATTTGTTAGAGTGGAAAAGAAACAGTGGCGCGTTAAATCAGGAGGTAATGCTAAAAATTTTGTTCCTCGGCAAAATAAAGTTATGGAAAGGCAAGTCTCTATGCCGGAAGCTGTGGGTGCCAGCACCTCGGGTAAAGAGATAATGGATGATCGTAATAAGGGTACTTCTTTGGACCCTTCTAAACAACCTGGAAGTAATGAGACGAATAAAGGCTAAGGTACGCATTCTGTTGGTGTTGATTCTGGGTCTTCTTCTACCCACTCTTCCCACTCTACCCATTCTAGGACCCAGGCTACTCCCCTTATTGATTCTATGGTTAAAAACTTTCGGTTGGCCCGGAGGGGTGTAATACGGGATCCCCCCTTAGCTGCTAACAAATTTGGTGTTCTTGAGAAGTTGGGTGATGTGGAACTTCATGTGGGGGGGCCAAACCGAGGGGGTAACAGACCATGGTGTTAGCAATTCGTTTGAGAATTGCCGGGAGAGAGGGGTTGATTCAAATACCTCATCATGTTGAATTTCGATCCGGGGGCTTAATTCTCCGGTTAAACAAAAAGAGGTGAAAAACTTTATTCATTGTAATGATTTGTGTTTGTGTTCAATAATAGAATCTCATGTCGCTAGGGATTCCCTTGAGAATGTTTGCTCTTCTATTTTTGGTCGGTGGTCTTGGATTTCTAACCAAGTGGAATGTGAATCTGGAACTCGTATTATCATTGCATGGGATTTACGAGTTTTAGATGTTATGATTTTGGAGGTGCACAACCAATTCCTGAATTGTAAGATTATCTTACGAGATAACCACGAGGCCTTCTTTTGCTCGTTTGTTTATGGAGCCAATGTCTGCAATGCTAGAAGACAATTATGGTCGGGATTGAGGAAATTTAAAGTCTTGATTGGTGCGCAACCTTGGGCCATAATGTGGGACTTCAATACCATGCTTTTCCCCCATGACGGTTTTGGTGGGTCCTCTCGTCGTAATGCTGACATGGCGGATTTTTTTGCTTGTATTGAGGATGTTGAAGTCTTCGATCTAAACTACACAGGTGTCCATTACTCATGGAACCAAAAGCCGAATGCTTCTGGGGGTATCATGCGTAAGTTGGACAGAATTATGGCTAACTCGGATTTTACTTCTAAGTGCCAGGATATTACTGTTCATTTCTTTCCGGCTGGACTTTCGAATCATTCTCCGGGTGTCTTATCTTTTAAAGGAGGATCTCGAAAAAGGAGGTATGGTTTTAAATTTGATAATTTCCTGACGGAACATCCGGATTTCTTGCAGATTGTTCAAGAGGAATGGTCTAAGTATATTGAGGGATCCTTTATGTTTCGGGTAACTTCTCACCTGAAAGCTCTCAAGGTTCCTTTTCGAAAGCTGAGGAATTCCTATGGAAATCTTGGGCAGCGTGTTGCTTTTCTGAAAACTGAATTAGACCGGATCCAAATCGATGTGGATAATGATCCTTCTAATGCTGATTTGGGGAGGGATCTTGGTGATATTCGTCTTTCTTATCAATTGGCTTGTTGGGATGAAGAATGTGCTGCCAAGCAGCGTGCCAAAATCAAATGGTTAAATGAAGGTGACTCGAATACGAAGTTTTTCCATAGGGTGATTAAAGAACGTCATCACTCTAACTTTATCACGTCTGTCTGTACTAGTCGGGGCGATTATGTTTCTGGCGATGATGTCCCTAAAGAATTTGTGGATTATTTTAAGAGTTTCTTTGGTGTTCGGAATGTTTCTACAGATCCGGTCATGGCTGATATTTCTTTTCCGAGGAAGTTAATTCTGTTAGAAGCTCTTGATATGATTCGGCCGGTCACGAATGAAGAAATTAAAAATGCTATGTTTAGCATTGGCAATCATAAAGCCCCAGGCTCTGATGGGTTCACTTCAAAATTTTTCAAGGCTTCATGGGGGATCATTGGTCGTGATGTGGAGATTGCGGTCCATAATTTTTTCTATCGAGGTAATCTTCTGAAAGAACTGAACCATACGCTTATTTGTCTTATTCCTAAATCTGCTAATGCTTCTAAGGTTACGGACTACCGGCCTATAGCTTGTTGTACTGTTCTCTATAAATGCATTAGTAAAGTTATTGCTAATAGAATGAAGGGGTGTCTGGATTCTCTTATTGATAAGTCCCAGTCGGCTTTTATCCCGGGTAGGAGGATAACGGATAATATTCTTATGGCTCATGAACTTGTTTCTGGGTATCAGTCTTTGGCTGGCCCTCTTAGATGCGCGTTTAAGATAGACATTAAAAAAGCTTATGACACGGTGGATTGGAGGTTCCTCATTGTTATGTTACAGGGGTTGGGATTCCATCCGGTTATGGTTAATTGGATAAGGGAGATGGTGTCCACTACTTCATATTCTCTAGCGATAAATGGCAATTCTTACGGTTTTTTTCAAGGTGGTCGGGGTCTTCGGCAAGGGGATCCTTTATCCCCTTATCTGTTCACTATTGTCATGGAGGGCTTCTCTATGATTCTTCGGCAGTGTATTCAAGAGGCTACTGATTTTGGATATCATCGGGGTTGTGAATATCTGGATATTACGCATCTTTGCTTTGCAGATGATCTGTTTGTTTTTACTAAAGGCGATGTCCAGTCGGTGGAGGTTCTTAAAAGGGCTCTTTGTCTTTTTCAGAAACGATCGGGGTTAGAACCTAGCCTTGAAAAGAGTGAGGTCTTTTTTGGGAATGTGTCTTCTAACATTAAGGAGACCATTCTTGAGAGTCTCCCGTTCAAGCAAGGTATGTTTCTTGTTCGTTACTTGGGTGTCTCTTTATCTCAAGCTAGGTTGAAGATTGTTGATTATGGACCTTTGTTAGCTAGGGTTAAAGGTCGTATTTTTAATTGAAAGTCTAAGTTCCTTTCTTTTGGGGGACGAAGACAACTCATTATTTCGGTCCTTCAATCTATTCAGCTTCATTGGATGTCTGTGTTCTCATTTTCGTCAGGGCTTGCCCATGATCTTGAATCTATATTCCGGAAATTCCTTTGGGACCCCAAGGGAAGATCAGCGAGGTAGGTGCAAGTTATCTTGGGATGTGGTGTGTCCATTAAGTCAGGAGGTCTTGGTATTAGGCGTGTTGCCACATGGAATAGGGCTTTACTTGCGAAACATGTTTGGGATATTCTTAGACATCGTGATTCTTTGTGGGTATGATGGGTGTATCGTCATATTCTTCGTTCTTCTCATTTCTGGTTGGTTCGGAAGAGCTCCAATTGGTCATGGATTTTTCGTAAGCTGTTGGATCTACGAGTTCATTTGCGACGTTTTCTTTTCTCCAAGATTGGTAATGGTCGGGATACTAATGCTTGAGAGGACTCTTGCCTGGCTTGTGGACATCTTTCGGCCTTCTTATCCTATCGGTTTATACACTCTTGTGGGTTCTCGACTGGCACATCTGTTAGAGAGTTACTTATGAGTATGGATGGGGTATCGCCGGAAGAGTGGTGTGACAGGATCCTATGCTTAGTTCTTATACTGTCCCATCTTTAAATGATGCTGTTTGTGACAAAGTTCTTTGGGGGGCTGATTGCACTACTCGGTCTCTGTTTTCGGTCAGTACTGCTTGGGAATCTTTAGATGGGACTCATCCGATTGTACCGTGGTATAAATCGGTATGGTTCTCGGGTCATATTCCTAAGCATGCTTTCTGTTTATGGCTTGCTTGTCAGAGACGTCTCCCTACTCAAGACCGCCTAATATGGAAGGATGAACCCCCGGATTTGAAGTGTTTGTTATGTGGTAATTGTATTGATAGCCATGCTCATTTATTCTTCCAATGTGTTTTTGCTCGGGAGGTTTGGGAAAGTATGTTGCTTCTTGTGGACTTAAGGACTATGCCGTCGTCTTGAGATCAAATTGTGGATATTCTTTCGGATCGTACTCGTCGGCCTAAGCGTTTAAAGCAGAGGCTTGTGGTTGCAGCTTCTGTTTATTATATTTGGCAAGAAGGAAATAGAAGACTTATTTCTGAAGTTAGTCGTACAACTGTGCAACTTATCACTATTATCAATAATACGATTTCCATTCGTGCGGCTTGGGTGGATAGAAGAGGGGTGCCTAGTGTTGCTGTAGGATGGTTTTTTGGTGGTTTGGTGGAGCTTGTCTGAACGCTAAGCTCTTTTTCTTTATCTTTTGTTGTTTGTTTGGTTTTGTTGGGCTCTATTCCTTTTGGCTTTTGGTGACTTGGTATAGGTTGGTGGTAAGGTCTTTTGGTTTTCTTGTTGGTTAGGTGGTGGCAACACGGTTTCTTCTTTGATGGAATCCCCTTTTATTGTTTATAAAATTACCTGGTTTCCGTTCAAAAAAAAACACCAAATGGACCCTCAATCACGTACCTCAATGATGCAACATAAAGAAAGATGCTTTATATGGATTAAATCATGTACCTCTTTTTGCTTTATTAGGGCATTTAGACCCCTAATATTCCATGCGGTGAACTTTATCATTGAGACGTTGAAGTGAGAATCTCCTCTCCTCGTTGTTCCATAGTATGCCCCTCTGTATCAATGATCTCCATATCATCATCATCACTAGAGTCGTCAGATGGTAATGAGGAAAATCGATTACTAATAGTCGTGGCATTTACAGCGCCTCGTCTTGGTTTGAAAGCATGGACCACCATTTTGACAAGTTCCGGACCCCCCTTGGATAGAATTTTGACATTCGAAGAAGCATCTCTTCCTTTTGGCGTTCTCCCAGCATCCACCGTACAAAACTGACTGACCACCTGTTCCACACCCTTTCCATCTAATACTTTTGAAATAGCAGGCCTTATAACATCTGTGTCCTTTTTAGAACCTCCCGAGACATGCGATACCTCATTAACCTGTTTTATAGTGCCAACACCAGTTAACGTGTCATGATTAACAAAAGCCGCACCTGAAGTAGAAGCCTGAGCATCAGTACAGGATCCAGATTTAGACTTTGGCTTCCAATGTTTTCTTCTAGGTTCTTTAAACCCCTCATTATTCGATGAAATGTCATTAACCTTTGGCCTTTTAATTTCCCCTTTCATGCAGGACGACGTTCGATGACCAAAAACTTTGCATTTCGAACATTGGGAAGGAACCCAATCATATTCCAAAACCACATTGATCATATCCTCACCAGTACCCGAAAGCCTCGGAATAACAACTTCAATTTGCCGTTGTATTTCACCCACAACCCAAACATCCACCAACACTTTAGCAAAATTAGTACGTCCCCAAGGTTTATCACAAGTGCTAGCAGTGCAAGCATCTAAACGCAAAGGAACACCAATGGCACTTGCAATACGGCTAATACCCTCTCTATTGAATGCAACAAGCGGGATATTAAATAACTTAATCCATAACGGGCATGAGGTGTGCTCGGGTTTCTGAAGACCCTTTGAGGGGTCCCATATTGAGACAAAAAGTGGCCTCCCTCTAATCATGAGGGGAGACGACTCAACCACTTGGTTGCACCCACCATCATCATTAAATCGAAAAAAGAAATAACCAAGGTCATTAACCATAGCATCTAGGAGACCAAACTTTCCCTAGGCATTCTGAACCGCGCGAAGGATAATGGGGAATGGAAGGCGTGGTCCTAGGAAATACCCATAAAGAACCGACTGGAAAGATTTAACCATACCTTTTGTAGCTTCCAAAGGAAAAAAGATCCGCGGTTTCACACTCTTCTCAACCGAAAAATAAGTAAGCTCTTGCTTTGAAGTGCCTCCCACAATTTCAGCAAAGGACTTTGGAGATTGCATGCACGGCTCACCCATAACTGGAGGAGAGAGTCGTTCCGACACCGAGACCCTTTGATTCGGTCCAACATTAACCCCAACCTTCTTCTTTATACCCCCATGCATAGGAGATCCTTTCAACATACAAGGAACCGTCTCATCCAGGATTACATCGGCGAAATCCTGGGATGAAGATTCTTCCAAAATAACATCCGCAAAATCAGGCATCTTAACCAAACCGCAGAGAATACCTAGCTCACTATATCCCTAGTCAAGAAGTCGTGGTGCTGAATCCCTCGTCAAGCGTTCTCGATAAAATAAACGAAGACCTTACAGGAAGGTGCTGATTATTCTATCAATAAACTTAACAAAGGAGACGAAGACCACGGAAACAATTGACGCAGGAAAAGGAACCGAAATACGTCTCACAACCAACCCGCGACCAATACTCGAAGGAAACTCAAAGAGACAAAAACCAAATGAGAAAAAACCAAGGCAACAAAACAGCAGCAGTACTTATGGTTCAAACGACTAAAGGAAGATAACAAGCAAACCCAATCGGCCCACGACAAGAATAAAGAAAAAATGCTAGAGCATGCAAAACCCTAGCGCATGCAAACCCTAGCGCATGCAACCCTAGCCGTGAAAATCCAGAACCGGCCTACCCTAGCCTCAAAACCGTAAGCAATCCGAAACAAAGGGGATTGAATAAACCAACACCCACGCACGAAACATGTCGCATGAAACAGGTCGCAAAAGGACTAAGACAAAGAGAAGAGAACCAAAGACAAACCTCAAAGAAAAGCCACCGCCAAACTCTAATCCTTGAACCAAATCAGCTTTGAACAAGAAAAGGGAAAGTCGATGACGCCAAAAGATCCTCAATACCAGATTCGCAATGAAGATCAAAGAGGCGAAACCCTAATTTCACCAAAACCACAAGCAAGACCAAAACCGCCGATTGAAGGAAAACCAAAAAAACCCGAAAACCAATCGGATTAACACACCAGCAAGACGAAAAAGAAGAAGATAAGATAAAAGACTTCAGAAAAAAACCATACGAAAACATCATCTTCATCATCTTCGATCACGCAACCCTAGAGAGCCCCTTCCATAAAGATTCTAAAATTTCCATAAGGATTCTACTGAAAGGGGAAGAGTTTCCCCAGGCAATTTTATAAAGACAGTAAAAAGCGTCACCAAAACAAAACAATCAGCAAGAGAAACTACGGCAACCTTGACTCACAAACCAAGTCATAAGGAGCCAAAACAGACAAAGGGAAATACACCAAAACATAACAGCACCATAAGCCAACAAGCAAAAGGCAAAAAAACCCAAATAACCAAAACCGAAAGAGCACCACCCACGTGATCACATGCCATTGAGATTCATAATCTTCTTCCTTGTCTTCCACGCCATTCGATTAAGAATCAACATCTTAATCTCCGTAATAACTTTATCCCCCGAATGATTGAAATTGGCAAAGAACTTCCTGTTCCGCTCCCTCCAGATAATATAAACCGTTGCTGAAAGACCAAGTTTTTGAACCGTAGACCAAGATTTCCAATTTTGAGTAGATCCTCTGTGAAGGATATCCTCCCAATTGTTTGGAAAATTCATCAGTCCTACCTCCCTTTTAATAGCATCCCAAATACTGCTGGAGTACTTGCATTCAAAAAAATAGGTGATTGTGCGTTTCAATCACAAGGTTACAAAAAACACACTTTAAATCAGGCGGTTCATGCTTCCATTGACTAATACGATCTTGAGTTGGCAGTTTCATCTGACATGCCATCCACATGCAAAGAGCATGTTTAGGAACGTAAGCTTTATTCCAAACGAGTTTATACCAATGCACAACCGGCTTCACCTCTTGGATAGTATTCCATGCCAATTTTACTTCAAAGTCACCCCGTGAAAGTTTGTTATCAAGCCATCTGACCTTATCTTCCTCTTGACTGGGAGCCGGAATCAGAACACTTTGCAGCAGAGGATATTGTTGAAGCCAATCCACCGGCCAACTAGTACCAAAATGTTGCATTACATCAGATACCGTGGAGTTATTATGAAATCCCTGGCCATTTATGAATCTATAAGTCAGGGAKTGAATGAGAGGACCCGACTCGCTCCAAGTATCTTCCCAAGCATGTGTAGATAAACCATTGCCCACATTATAGATAAAAAATCTCCGGCAATGAGATCTTAAGTCTAAAAGGCTTCAAAGAATCCACGACCACTCATTCCGCTTCTTGATAACCCAGAAATTACGGCCCCGGACACAATGAGACTGAATCCAAGAGACCCACATAGTGTTTCTGCCCTTTAGAATATCCCAAACATGTTTAAAAAGAAGACACCTATTCCAAGTCGCAAGTCTTTTCATACCAAGACCCCCACTTTGAATAGGCAAGCAAACAGTATCCCAAGCAACTCGACATTTACCCATCTGACCCTCAGTTTTATTCCATAAAAAATTACGAAATAGCTGCTCAATTTCATGGATTGTGGTCGCTGGTACCAGAAATACCGACATCCAATAAGTTTGCATTGAGTGGAGCACTGAGATAATTAGTTGTCGGCGCCCGCCATAGGAAAGGAATTTATTCTTCCAGTTTAAAAGTCGAGATTTAAGCTTTAACACAAGGGGATTAAAATCACGTACCTTCAGACGGACCGGGGAAAGAGGAACTCCCAAGTAACGTATAGGGAAAACCCCTGGCCGAAAAGATAAGGTATCCCGTATAAGAGTTTGGACCTCTATTGCTACATTCCCGAAAAACACCTCACTCTTCTCCAAACTTGGCGACAAACCCGATCGTTCTTCAAACAAGAGAAGGCCACGTTTAATGACTTCCACAGAAATAATGTCCCCCTTTGAGAAGATAAACAAATCATCAGCAAAGCATAGATGAGTCAGCTTTATATCCGTACAACCCTGATGATAAGAAAAATTTGCCTCCTCCTCAATACACTTCGAAAGAAGCATCGAGAGACCCTCCATAACAATAGTAAACAGATAAGGGGAAAGAGGGTCTCCTTGACGAAGGCCCCGTTTACCATGAAAAAAACCCTCCGACTGTCCATTAACACAAACAGAATACGTGGGAGTAGATATCAGAGTCTTTATCCAGTTAATC